CAGAGAGGAGATCCTGTGCGACCGGCGGTGCTCGAGAACGCTCAAGGGCAAGGTGTACCGGGCGGTGGTAAGGCCTACAATGCTCTACGGCAGTGAGTGCTGGCCCATCTGCAAGAACCATGAAAGGCAGCTCCACTCAGCTGAAATGAGGATGCTGAGATGGGCCTGCGGCTCGACAGAGTCAGAAACGAGGACGTCAGGGCGGTCACACAGACCGCTCCGATCCAGCTGAAGGCACGAGAGCAGCGACTGCGATGGTATGACCACGAGGAGCCCCAAAGAAAAGATGGAGGGACGTCATCAAGAAGGACCTCACTGAAGTGAAAGCCACGGCAGAAGATGCAGTGGATCGGAACAACGTCTAACAGAACAGCGGACCCTGCGACGGCGCGGGACTAACGCTAGGGAGAAGAAGAAGAAGATATTTGGGAGTCCATTGAATCCCTCCATCGTTTGTATCTGAGCCTTCTTCGCTTGATTCCCAATCGGACTCATCACTTGAATGATTCACGCGGACAACCATATCTTCTGGGGTATCAGGGCCCTGTTCCATCACTTCGTCGTCACTTTCAATCAGAAGTTCATCAAACGATCTATTCAGCGCGTCCATCATTGCCTATCTGGAACGGCTACCATAAATTAGGGGTAGTTTCCCAAAAAAATAGCCTGGAGAAGCAAAAATGACGTACGTTGAGTTTATACTTCGCTGCGGGCGAGAAATACCGCTCTGCGTGGCCGCGTGCTGCACCATGTGCAGCACGCCGGCGAGGTTGCGAAATATGGCTCGGGCACACGCGGCCAGCGAAAAAACGCCTCGGTACGCAATGGGTTAAAGGTGGTTGGGCTTCGATCCTGCGGTTCCCCAAGGTCGAAAGTTATGAACGCGTTCTTGTTACAGCTGGTGTGAAGATGATCTCTTTTGCACTTCCTTGCGCATTCGTCTGAATGCAGTGACAAGTTTCCCGTATCTTTCAGCTCACCGTTTTATCAAATTTGAATTCATATCAGAATTCAAATCAGAATTGGGAGTGAGGCAGTAAGGTGCGCTAAACGCGTATGAACATCAGTGGGCAGTTTCAGCCAGTAATACCAAGAGTGAGCATTCACCTTTTGAGCTACGAACACTTTTTCAGTAGGAATTTCTATACCGAGATCGCCTCTTGCGACCATGACACCGTCCGCTTCGGCGATAATCTCATCTGCGTTTTCCATGCCTTGTTGGTTCTCGATTTTGGCAATGATTTTGATCTTTTTGCCTTTTTCACCGAGGACCTGAAATCTTTTTGGAGAAAAACTGGAGTGCAAACATTTGTGGCAAGTGACAAGACTGACCTTCCTCATTTCTCGGACTCCTTCTGCATTACGAATAAAAGAAGCAAATATCATGTCTACTTCCTGCTCCACTCCGAATTTGAGATCCTATAATGAAATTCTAGTATGATGTGTACTATAATATTGGCTTGGAGAGCCCTTGAACAAATTTCGTTCACTCCGCAATTTAGAGTTATTGATGGGAAACAACTACGTGTCATTCACCATACGGGTCGATTTTCAGAGCGATGGACTGACCACGCCTGCGGCGTTGCCATGTGTTTCAAGATCGATCACTACCATTGGTGGAGCAAGGCATCCAGAAGCGGGTCAATCCGTCCTCCTCACACCGTCTTGACTGACTGCAATGTTAGAAACCTTATGTAGGCGCACAAGCATGCACATATTCATCATCAACTCCCAGGCTGTCACAATAACAAGTAATTAACCAATAAATCTTTCGTAAAGGATTGGTCCTGATGGTGGAAAGGATCACTATCTTGAGAGGGTGCAGAGGGAGCGCGTCTGATGGAGACGCCGCGTACCCCCGTGGCGCCTAGGACCCGGTTCCGAGTTAGAGATCCAGCACTCTCTGATAGCGTTTTCTACCATCCATACTTATTAACTGGACATAACGAGTGAAATTCACATTGTAACGACTGCTACAAATAGCAGCGTATTTGCTGGCTAGTTGACAGGATATACTGAAGCCCTTCTACTGAACATTCTGCAACCCTTCTAGGTTGGATTGCTAAGGCCGTGGTGCAGATACAGGTGCAAATACCGCACCCGTTATACAGCTTATAAACCGATCCTCCTGTATGAAGGCTGCCAAGAGCGCAAGAAGAAATCTTGAAGCTCCAACTCTGGTGCGGCCTTCTATTTTACAGGCACATGAATGATAGCGTTCTTTCTAACTTGAAATTCTGCGTTGAGGATAAGAAATCTCACCATTGAGTAATATAACATTTGACAGCGGATTTTTCGCCTTACAAGGAGGTGCACCTAGTTTTTTTTTGCAATAGAGCAATTTTCCATTAATTACGAAGTGCTTGACCACAGGTTCAGTCGTAAAAGCTAAACCACAGAGGGCCATTTGTTACGTACATATATGGCCCCCACAAATCCTATCCGCAGCCTCAACGTGGCGTGGGGGTGAACGGTTTGGACTGTTCCAACACCGTACCAATGCGGAGGGTGCCACGTCAGAGCCTGGCGAGCTACGCGTGGTTAAATTTCTTCTCGCCGAAAACAGTAATAATTATGGGCCTCATTCCCCTGAACCTGAGGGAACCACCGACAGGGCGACGTCGGCTGGGACCGCTCGGGCGAGGCTGCAAGAATCACAGGGCCAACGGAGATTTAAGTCGCCCAGGACTAGGATGACGATCTGTACTTTCAACGCACGGACGCTTGCATCGGAAGCTCACATCGAAGATCTGATGTTGCAAGCCAGGAAGATCAAGTACGACGTCATCGGACTGACCGAGACGAGGAGGCATCGCCCGCTACACGCCGTATACGAGACTGGAGAAGAACTGTTCCTCGGAACATGCGACAGCAGAGGCGTTGGCGGTGTGGGCGTCCTCGTCAACACGCACTTGGCCATGAACATCGATTCGTACGAAAATCTGACGACCCGAATGCGATTGAGAAGATGTGGTTCAACTCCAGCTTTGACAATCTTCGTCGCCTACGCACCAACATCAAGCTACGACGAGGATGAGCTCGAAGCGTTCTATATGGAATTGGAGAAGTTCTACAAGGAAGATCATACCTTCTTCAAGGTCATCGTCGGTGATTTCAACGCTAAGATCGGACCAAGAAGAACGGCTGAAGAACTTCACATCGGAACTCACGGAACGGAGTGGAATGAGCAGGGTGAAAGGCTGTCTGAGTTTATCATGTCGACCCATACCATCCATGGTAACTCGCAGTTCCAGAAGCCCTACTCTCTACGCTGGACATGGGAGTCTCCTGGTGGACAATTCCATAACGAGATCGACCACATCATCTTCAATCGAAGGTTTTGCCTGACCGATGTCGCTGTTGTTCCTAAGTTCTACACAGGATCCGACCACCGTCTCCTTCGCGCAAGATTCCGCTTTTCGATGAGAGAGAGCCGCAAAGTTCAAGAAGCGAAGCCCCAAGACCGTCATCAACTGGGATCACTTCACTTCTCTCGCTGGGCTCTGGGAGGATTCCGTCATCGACAACATCGACGAGGAATACGGCTTGTCGCACATCTTCACGACTGCGCCAAGAAGTCAGAGAGTTCCAAGATTACCAAGAAGCGTCTATCTCTGGAAACTCTCGAGCTGATTCGCCAACGTGGAGCCGCACGAGCCGCAGGCAATTACCAGCTGACGTCTGAGCTTGCGAAGCTATGCAGCGATAAAGGAAGACCTCAAGGAGAGAAGAGCAGCAGTACTGGTGGAAGCCGCAGAGGCTGGGAAGAGCATACGCAACGCCCGCCGCGACTTCGCCAACTGTAAGACCAAGATGACCGCCCTCCGACGTCCGGATGGAACAATCACCGCATCCAGAAGGGCAATGGAGAAGGTCATCCACGACTTCTACTCGGATCTCTTTACAGCCACGTCCACTTGCCACCCCTTGGAGCAGGATGGATATGTCGTTCCTGCAGTTCTCCCTTCCGAAGTCCGACACGCCATCTCGTCGGTAAAGAATCGTACGGCACCCGGTCCCGACAGGATCAGACCCGAACATCTGAAGAATCTTCCGCCAGTTCTTGTCAAAACTCTGGCTCGACTCTTCACGCGCTACCTGTCGGAATGCAAGGTACCCACCTCGTGGAAAACCAGCAAGACTGTGTTGCTGTACAAGAAGGGAGACCTGTACGACATTGGCAATTATCGCCCAATCTGCCTGCTGTCTGTAGTCTACAAACTCTTCACACGAGTCATCCTGAACAGGATTGGCAGAACACTAGACGAAGGACAGCCATGCGAGCAAGCAGGGTTTCGAAGAGGATTCAGCACGATCGATCACATCCACACGGTAACGAAGCTCATCGAAGTATCGCGAGAGTACAAGATGCCGCGTCTCACGTTCATCGACTTGAAGAAAGCCTTCGACTCCGTTGAGACAGAAGCGGTTATCGAAGCCCTGGGCAACCAGGGTATTCCTACTCAGTACATCAGGATTCTTCGTGAGCTCTACAGCAACTTCACGACCAAGATCTCACCATTCTACAAGGAGATCATCATTGATGTGAAGAGAGGGGTCCGACAGGGCGACACCATCTCGCCCAAGCTCTTCAGCGCCTCTCTCGAGAACGTCATGCGTCAACTGGAATGGGAAGACATGGGAGTGAAGATCGACGGTCGGCAACTACACCATCTCCGCTTTGCTGACGACATCGTTTGATAACATCGAGCAAGCGGAACGAATGCTGGCTGAATTCGACTGCGCGTGTGGAAAAATCGGTCTACGGCTGAATCTAACGAAGACGATGTTCATGAAACGGATTGGTTTCTGATGCCCCATTCACGCTCAACGGAACGACCATCTCTGAATGCTCTAGCTATGTGTACCTAGGTCGTGAAATCAATATGATGAATGACCTTAGCTCCAGAGCTGAGCAGGAGGAAGCGAGCGGCTTGGAGCCTTCAAGAACATCGAGGGAGTAGCGAAGAAGACGAAGAACAGCTCCGTGTCCTTCCTGCCTTGACGTACGCCTCAGAGACTTGGACTCTACGAAAGCAGGATGAGCATGCGGTCGGCGTTATTCAACGCGCCATCGAAAGGGCGATGCTCGGAGTTTCCCGCTACACGCAAGTGAGAGAGGGAATCCGGAGCTCCGCACTCCGCCGACGATCGAAGATCAGAGACGCCGCCGCTTTTGCCAAGGTTTCGAAGATCAGGTGGGCCGGGCACGTCATGCGTTTCGAGGACGACCGCTGGACCAGAGCGATCACCGACTGGATTCCACGGGATGTCAAGCGAACGCCTGGACGACCGCCTATGCGATGGTCAGACTTCTTCGTGAAAGCTCTGAACGAATGGTATGAAGTTCATCGTGTCCCTCGAGCTGAGAGAGTTCATTGGGCAACTCTTGCACGTTGCAGGGACGAATGGAGACGTTACTGGCGCCCGCTCGAGGAACTCGATGATCAACGGGAGCACAGGGGATACAGGTGATATATGGCCAAGAAGCGTGTCCCTTGAGATGACACAAGTTGGTGAAAGCGACTCAGAGATTTCAATTTTGTCCTCGCACAGAAACGTCGCAGCGGACACCCTCCTGAGCTAGTAAGGGAAGCGTACTGTATCAGCTTATTCACAAATACCTTCGCTAGGTTATGAACACGTGATAGGGGTTATCGAGTGCGTCCACATTTCTATTGCAAAGAAACTTTTACTTGAAAACCTAAAAATGAATGGGTTCTGCAGATGTTCGCTCACGAGAGGGTGATACATGTAATGCACATCCGCAAGGTCCAAATTTTTACTCTTGATCTTTAGAATCAAACCTAAGCCTTCTTGAAGAGTAGTTCCCTGGTCATTATAGCTGCGCTATCGATTGGCCGTGACCGAAGTTGGAGGAGCTTCCATCCACTCAGCAGCATTTTTTCTCATCACCGCAGCGGATCTCATGAGAAGCTTTTCAAGCTGCACCATTATGTTTTCACTACGTCGGAGGAGCAGATCTAGTGTTCCCCATCAATCGTCCATTAGCTCTGCTGCTGCTCTCGTCAATCGTCTCAACTGAATTACTGGTGCATCGGCGGCGGAAACGATCCATGTTGGTTACACCATTGTTGCTTCCAAAACAGCAATATCTCCTGGTTTTTTTCACTAACCGTTTCTGTTTATTTCCTAATCAGTTTCTCTCTCTCACTGTCTGCTGATCAATAGCCGTCGTTTCGAAAATACTTAGGTAAGACCCGCCTGTAAATAACACGGTAGGGGTTGTAACTCGCTTATCATCTAGGGTTAGCCATGTTCGTGTTGTGAACTTCTGTAGGTTGCAGACGCTTGGGTAGCTAGCTACCCAAGCGCCTGCAACCTACAGAAGTTCACAACAAGTTGTCCCCATCCTACTACATAAATTAATATGCGAAAGTGCGTTGTTTGTGGTGTTCTTCCTGCCGCAAAAGATGCGAGAAAATACCGGCGTCGTCAGATAGGAAAGTCTCTGTAGCATTTTCCAAGACAGTGATATACATGGCAGGCACGGGAACACTTTTGGTGGGTGATAGAATGTGATAGCACCTGATAAGATTCGATAAGGGGCCTTAGAAAGGGAGGGTGACCGAGCCCATAGTGCGGGACACAGTAACAGTGGGACATTGGTTCCAAGGTATGATATAGGACGTGGGACAGGAACATTATTGATGGGTGACAGGGAATGATAGCAGCTGATAGGATTTGATAAGGAGTTAGAATGGTAAGGTCACCATACTCATAACGCGGAACACAGCATCAGCTAGGCATTAATTTCAGAAAATGATATAGAGTTGGAGATGGGGACACGGCACGTGAGGTGATAACAGCTGATAGGGGCTGATAAGGAACGTTGCCAATGCTGTTCAGTCAAATTGCTGGAGCCTTTACACTACCAAATTATAGAGTTTTAGTGATAGGGACATACGGGTGACAGGATCTTATCAATTGATAAGAAAGGATAAGGGGCCATTATCATTACCTCTCTTATCACTATACCCCAAGTATCAAAGGCTCAGTGTGCATACTTTTAGCCATCACTTCCCTGATAGCCCTAGAAAATGAACTTATCCTACTATATAATGTCGATGTCGACGAGCGGGGGGGGGGGTATGTCGCATGCTAATTGAAAGGAAAGCGTTCGTCGGTAGGCATTCCGGTGCAGGTAATGGAAACGAAATCTGCTATTTCACTGAGCGATTCATATTGCGCTGTATTGGCCGACTACACATTGTATCTATCTACAGATTTATGTATTCTATGGGCGTCATGGCGCGGACTACACCGCTGCTGTAAATGGAAGCGCGTGCTGAGATGCGGGATAAGCCTTGCTGTCTGTTACGATTCGATCACTACAGCGCCTTATGAGCAGCGCACTACCGAAAAAGTTCCGTTAAAATTATGGAGCCGCCTGGCGAAGCCAGGCCAGCTCGGCGAAGCCGAGCTCAAGAGAAGGAGGAGAGCACGGCGTCAGCCGTGCGATCCGACTGGTATTCACATACATCACACTTTTGATCTCTTCCTGCAGTACGAAAGCCAAGACAGAGTGCAAAAAGGTGCTGCCTAAAACTGTCGTCTGTGTCGACCAGTCACTACATTGCAATGAAATAAGAGTCGAAAAAAATCAGAAAGAGCATGAAGCAAACCACTTTAGCTCAAAGTCATCTATTAAATGAAGTGGGGCACACTGTAAAAGAAATCTATATTTTTCTGACAGCTGGAGCAAGAGTAAGTTTGGGCTAAGAAAAAAAACTCTATCATTCATGGGACAATCACATATTCCATAAGTGAAGTGGAAGCCATATCCACAGGGAAGTTCAACGGTCTTCGAAAGTTTTAAATTTTTTATGTAGCTTTTAATTTTTTCATTGGGGTCTGGAGACCAGTTAAGTACTCTTTGTATAAAACTGAAACGCACCTTAATATCTTTCTCAGAAACAGCCGGTAGGTCGACAGGTGTTCCAGGTAGGTTGACACCTTTGCGGCTACCTGAATCGAGTATGTTAACTAGTCGACTTCGGTACGTTTGGAGCTTCTAGATATTTACCTAGCATTCCACCGTTCTCGATCGTGCATGAAATGGAGTTGCCGCTGATCTCGTTAACAACAAGTGAGATGAGGCCATCGTCGACGTATACACGGGATCCTTTGCTCACAACCTTGACAGTGGGATTTGAGGAGAGACAAGTTCAAAGAATGTTGCGCTGCGAATTAAATGAAATGTGGATGCAGAGCAGCCATCAACTGATGGTTTATACTTCTAGAGAATGAGACTCTGCTACCGTTGGCATGGTCGCCGAAGCCTTTTACTCTTGAATCCAGAAAAAATGATAATCTTCACTTCAGCGAGTTGGCTCTCTGAGTATCAGACGCTCCTGCCAATGTACCTATGACTATAAAAGGAACTCCTGTACCTATGAGTATAAAAGGAACTCCGTCCAATGTCCATTAGGGAAATTAATCAATTATGGCCACCTTATCTGCGCACAGTGGTTGTTTGAGCTGGACACTGGGTTGACCAGTGCAGTCCTAACCCAGGAGTGGAGATGGGGTTATGTCTCACAAAAGCTGGCGCAATGGCTGCCACCTAGCTTCCACACACAGAAGATTGGGTCCGCCAAAAAATTGGTTCCTCTCCTCGAGGCTATACGTTCGAGCAACCCCTTGTGAATTGAGCTGACTGCAAGCTCACTTCTTGGCCGAAACAGGGGCAGGACCAAAGTTGAATCGGACGAATTGGCCCTTGCCTGTGAGATCGAAACCACTGGGACTAAAGATACTTGGAAAGAGCCTTAGGAGGAAATGCGGGTTATTTCGTTTTTTGTAAAGTGAGAAGAGCTCAATCCTGTAAATATTAACCTTAACAATGTTTTTGTAGTCTAGATAAAGTGTTTCGGCGGTGCAGGCTTCCTTGTACTTCTCATCAATTGTCAGAGTGATTGATTTGCCCTTGACGAGTTCAACCTAGAAGTACTAAGTATCATCTCTGCTTAGACTTATAAAGCATTAAGTGCTGCCCCCATTTGCAGTTTCTCAGATGCGGCTCACAATTATGGAGCTCCACCGGAAACAAACACTCCTTATCCTGGTAAAGGAGAGGTTTCTTTTCGTTGTGTGAGCGCGACTGCGTGTCTTGGGGCAGAGGCCTGAAAGATGCAAGGGCTTTGCCTGCGCCGCCCGCGCTTTCTTATGCACAGTCTACATAGTCTAAGTCTGTAGCCTGACCTGCGACTGTATAGCACTCAGACGCTTCGCGAGAAATTACAAAAATAATAGTTGAAGATAGCCAGTGCTCTGGACTTCATTTGACTACCTAATTAAGTTTTACCAACTCCCCACATGTGAAGGAGTTCCATATCCCCACACATGAACCCCTTGGTGCATGATCCGTTCACCACCACCCCTGACACGATGTGATGAAATATGCCACAAGAAGCAGTTGAATGTCGTGAATGTAAACTAAACGAGAAAGAAATGCACGAACCTCAGCAGTTGCTCCACCAGTGAGCAAGCCAGTTCGGATCTCAGGTCCTTTGGTGTCGAGAGCGATTCCGATTTGAAGCGAACCTCCCATCTCTTGAACCGCTTGGCGAACATTTTTGATGGTCCCACCGTGGTACTGAAACAATTTCAATTCGACTTTCATCCTGGAGACATGGCCACTTCCATTATTGATGATACTTGTCTTTTTTCTCTCATTAATGGTCGATTGCCAATGCACAGTGCTCATTACACTCTTGATCCATCTACCATTCATAAAAGCGGAAAGCGCAGTTGCCGTTGAGAAGTTCTAGTGGTAGCAGTACCAACAACGAATGCTTTTAACGGTACGATAACACCATCCGCAATCACTTGATATTGGCTCTTATCACTTCTCATTGGCAAACACTGACAAGCGTTTACTTTTCGTCGAAACTGGAGAATTGAGCGGTCGACTCGTGCCTGGTTCTATCAGAAGTAGTAAAACGTGCTCACTTACGTGTCCCTTTTCTGTGGTACTGGAACCAGTGGTCGCGCCCTAGTCGCAGCGAATGTGGAGAAGAGATACAACGTGCCCCAGCAGGCCTTTACCAGTCCCTATCGGACTATCGGACATATCAATGTTCCCCCACCAGTACTCCCAGTGCTGTTTTCATCCCTCTCCATATATCCCTCATTAACTCTCTGCGGCTGAATCTAAGGAGCTTATGAATTTCGCATCAAAAACACACCCAATAGGCAAGCTTGGTGGGTTATGGTAAAGTGAAATGCTTTAAATATAAATAAATCATTTTAATAGACAACCCACTTAAAACTTCGAGCAGGGGTGTCAGTGGTAGACCTCTCAAAAGCAGATGTCGTCTTGGATGTGGTGCCACAGTTCCCATTCGCGGCAGCACGCTACCAGCAGATTATTTCCTACCTGGTTGACTAGCCAGACACAAGGAGAGCTAGTCCACCTGGGAGACGTAGACGCGGATAGAGTTGAGAGGGCCGACGCTCCACTGCACCGTTTCGTTGAGATGATTGGGTCCTATTACAAATGCTGTGCACATCACCCCGACTCGGCAATGCCCGCTCCACGCCCTCCTATTATTTCGTCAAGAGAGTTCTTGCGGTTTGAAAAATGGATCAACAAATTCAGAGGGTGTTTTCTGTATTACCTTATTGAGACTGCTGTTAGATTCTACAAAATTTTGGGGCGCATTTCTCCTTCTATCCAGCTCTTGATGGTTCCACTCCTTGTGGTTGGCACTGGATCGAATGAGATGCTACAGATGCTACTTCCTAAAGGATTACGGGAGCAGTCGCAAGGGGCAATTGCAGGAGCAGTCCAATCGCCAGATCCTCTCGTATAGCAGATGGGATGAAGAAAGTGCTGCAATCACGAGGGAGCTGCATTCGCTTAGAGAACGCTGGACTCAGGCAGAGCTTGAAAGCTTACGTAATAAGCTGCCTAGTGATTCGTCACTGAATAGTTCTAGTGGCATTCGGGATCGTGTTATGGCGTTGGAGAAATCGATACTACCCTATCATGAAGTAGATAGATCCGTTCTTATCAGCAAAAAACCGGAATTATGGTCTGAAACTTTTGGAGAGCGCCTGTCATACGGTTATCCTAGTGCTCGCAACATTCTTCACCTTGAACAGGCTGAAGCGTCTAACGTTTTGAATCAGTTAGGTTCAGGTACGTATGTCGCGCACCTAGACACATTTGAAATGATCCTTTCGCCACTTTACCCACAGCGTGGGTTCGTTCAACTTCACCCCCAATAACTTCCATTTTTTTGGATACTAGGGAGAAACGGCTGCCGCCGACATGTGAGGATGGTCCAGCTCTCCGGCTTAACTCGATGAAAGCTCCACTTACTCTCGTCTTTGTAGTGTAGCTCCTTCATTCTCTGCTATCTCTGGAGCTCAAACTTAGGAGTAGCTCAGACTTCAGAGTGGGGCCCAGATCAGTTTATTTCTTGGTTTATTTACTTATTTATTAGTCCATTTATTTATTTGTTTATCAATTTGGTTTATTTATTCATTCATTTAACAAATTTTTGCTGCTTATCAGTGCACAGCTCATCCATATAGCCACATACCGTGTCTCATCACCGTTTTGGTCGTATTATTTCTACAGCAACAGCAGAGCAACTTTGATACTCAGCGCCGCCTGCATTGTCGGCTATGCATGCGCTGTTATTCCCATTTCGCGTGCTTGTGCATTGTGCATATTCGATGCACGCGCCCGAACTTTCAAAACACTCATATGAAAGTCGAAGCAGAAGCGGCGCAGCGTTTAGTGTATAACATCGGGTGACGCTTTTTGGTCGCATACATGAGTGACTATGAGTTCAATTGTCATTAGCAATTTGTTCAGCACGATCTTTGACCCGACCCGTTGAACAAAAAGACACACCTCATGAGATCCATGCGAAAAGTTCAGTCGAGCGATATTCATTCCGCATGTAATCATTTGCTTCAGCATCTCCACGGAACGACATGAGGGACCTAGGAAGCATAGCTCACGGCTTCTCTTACACTTCATAACCCAATTCGCGTGTGGCTGCCTACTTCACTTGGAGGCGGCGGCGACCTCCAGGTGGCTTGCGTCTACAGAGGTATATTGGCTTCCTGCGACGACCGAAATTTTAGCTTTGTCTGGTGCAAGACAGCATGACAGTTGTCTCAAATGCTTATGTCCCACAAAAAATGCATCGTACGCCATGTTTGAATGAAGCACGCGGCCACGTTTTTCCCATCCACTGGAAATGGTGTTCTGGATGCAAGTGTCAGCTCGTCTTTTCTCTCTGCTCTTTTTGTTTGTTGCTCCTGCCTGTGTGACGTCAACCGCGACAAGTTTTCAATTTATGCGTTTCCACTGCTAATCAGGTGCCAGTGCGATGAGTATAATTCGTACTCACATGTCTTGAAGTGAGTAAAATAACAAGGTCAAAGCAGTTAGTACTACACGATTGAATTATGGTATTTTCCTATAGGAATCGGACAAGGACCTGGGTGATCCGCCCGCAAATAATTCTGTCTTCTTCTTACGCTGGGATCTTCTTTGCGCTGAAATCCGATTCGTTCATAAACTGGTGTGAACCTTACTTATCCCTACTAAACTGATTTGAGCTGACGATAGCGAACTTCACGGGTTTTTAGTAAAACGCTAGACATCCTACCTTGAAAAGGGATTATCCCAGACTTATGGAAGAACCTTATCATCTTGCACAATAACGGTGACCCCAACAATCCTATTCATTACCTTACAGCTTTCTTGTTGGTGTCCTGAACAAGCTCCACTACGGGAAATCTTTCATCAGGATGGAGTCTAATGTGCCTAGTGTGCATGTAAAACTGTTCATGTCTCGCCATTCACCGCTTCGCACACCACACCATTATAAATGAAGTTCGCAGCCACGCCCTTTACCTCTCTACGATATCGAGTATATGTCAAAAGGTGTGATGACAGCTAAAGATAGAAAACGGTCGGATGGACCATAACTTTTCGGGTACTTGCACATGAGGTAAAGACGACCTGTGTACGCATATGTGCGAATGGTACACACCAATGGTGCAAATGATCCCGGTTTTACGAACAACAGAAGGAGGGTCACGAATATCGAGTCTGCATTGGTGATCTAGTCGATTTCTCGGCAATTCTTCGGGCTTCACTTCTTGCCTGAAATATGCGGACTGTTGACAGGTGGGTCAACCCAAACGTTGTCAAAAGCAGTAATTCTGAAAATGCTCATCTCGTTTTTGAGGAAAGCCATCATGATTGGCTAAAGCACAGAAGCCTTCAGCGTGCAAGATAGCGCTGACCCTCAATGCGTGACCCTATTTCGCATCTCAATATTGCTTAATAAAAGTGCAGCTGCTCATCGATGATTAGCTAGTCGCGCCTCCTTCGGCTGAGTTCACCTTCAATTCACCGCCTCTCGTTTCACCATTTTCTTTATCATCGCTGCATAGTAGTGCGGTTGCGATCACTTGTACACTCTTGTTCGCTGCGGATGATGGGGCGTTTCAGGGGAACTGGCGCAGTGCCATCAGTTCTCCACTAGTTGTTGAATCGAGCGAACGACAAAACTGTGCCATATCGTTCGTAACCGTCGTTCTGCACAACTGCTGCCGCGCCAATCCCTTCCCTTCCCGCATGACACATCCCTCCATCCATAGCGAACTCTACCGCATGCTCTCTCTCCATATACAGCGCCCTGCTTAAGTTATGCACTCTCAGTCTCTCTGCTCCGTATGATCATGGCAATTCAGCAGACGTGGACCACTACACGGATTCTGATGGACCTTAGAGGAAATTCTCACTTTTAAATACCACCAATCTCCTCCCTTTCCCTTTACTAATAATGAATTGCCAATGTCCAGTGCTTAGTTAACACAAAAAAACATCAATAGCGTCGAAGAGCATCCACTACTCATCCTACTATATATAATCCGCTATGTGTGTCTGTATGTGTGTGTGTGTGTGTGTGTGTGTGTGTCACGAAATTCATAACACCTGTCCCAGTAGCGTTAGGAAGTTAATTCCATGATATGATATAGAGGTTGGGACAGGAACACTTTTGGTGGGTGACAGGAGGTGATAACACTTGATAAGATTCGATAAGGGGCCTTAAAAGGGGAGGGTGACCGAAATCGTAGCGCAAGTTGCAGCAGCTGCGGGACCGTGATTTCAAGAAGTGATGTGCACGGTAGGACGGGAACACTTTTGGTGGGTGACAGGAGGTGATAACACCTGATATGATTTGATAAGGGGCCTTAGACGCCGAGGATCACCAGATTAGTAGCGCAGGTTGCAGCGACCGTGGGACCTTGATTTCAAGAGGTGATATACACGGCAGGACGGGAACACTTTTGGTGGGTGACAGGAGGTGACAACACCTGATAAGATTCGATAAGGGGCCTTAGAAGGGGAGGGTGACCGAATTCGTGGCAAGTTGCAGCAGCTGCGGGACCTTGGTTTCAAGCAGTGATATGCCGTAGATGGGGCTGACAGGAGCTGATAACATCTGATAAGATCCGATAAGGGACCCTAGACGGGTGTCACCAAATTCTTAGCGCAGGTTGCAGCAACCGTGGGACATTGATTTCGAGAAGTGGTGTAGGGGAAAGGGGGTGGACATGATTGGTGTGTGACAGAAGCTGATAACACCTGATAAGATTTGATAAGGGGACCTTAGACGCGGAGGGTCACCCAATTCCTAACATCGGCTGCAGTGAATTGAGACCGTGGTTCCGAGATGGTATAAGGAGGGTCGGGGTGGGTGACAGAATCTAATAACATATGATAAGATTTGATAAGGGACCTCAAATGCGGAGGGCCACCAAATTCGTAGGGCAGGTTGCAGGGTCTGTGGGACCTTGGCTCCAAGAAGTGGTATAGGGGGAGGGGCGGACACCCACTGACGGGTGAGACGAAGTGACTGATAAGAAATGAAAACCTCATCATGCGGAAATCCGCAACACCGCTTACATCCACTATGCGATTGATATGATCCAGGTATCAGGCTCCCAGTAGTTCGCACACAACTCACTCCTGGGCTTTATCGTTATTGACATCATGTACGGCCGCTAAAGCAAATGGAGTTCAGAAGCATGGCGGTTGTTTACTCAGTTGGCATGAACTGCAGCAACTGGCTTTATCACTATGACTATCTTTCATCAACAATCTGAGAGAGGACCATTCGATGCGTTAAACTGCCCGAATGCGGGAGTGCATTCCAGAAAAGGAAACCTGCAGTAGTGGGGAACGCATCAAGCGGTAGGAAGTTCAAAGGCTGCTCTAACAGGTTGCTGTATTTTCGTGTGAGGGTTAGGGAGATTTTTGGTAAGTCCGAGAAAAGAGTGGACCAAAGGATAGATTTCAGCGCTACATTGGGACAACGGTTACAATCCTACCATATATAATCGGCTATGTCCGTGCGTGTGCGTCTAACTCTTTGACACGAATATCATAGCGCCGGTTCAACTTCAACTTCAACTCGCTGATCCAACTTTAACCCATTGCTCGAGCTATTTTCAACTATTTTTCTACATTTTGCTGGAAAATGAACTGTGACGGTTTGGCGTATTTTGCACACTCTACCTCGCCTAAAGAAAGAGTGCCTGGCGAAGCCAGGCCGGCTCGGCGAAGCCGGGCCATGATGAAGAAGGAGGAGCACCCGGCGGCAGCCGGGTGATCCGACTGGTTGGAAATAATTGAAATGAGACCGGGAGCTCTATTTTATTCCTCAGTGGCCTTTATCACTCGTCAACTATCCAAGCATCTGCTTTTTATCGGAACTTGGAACTTTAGCGGTCGAAACAATTTTAATCTGTCTATTCACTGGCTCAAAGAGAGGGAGCGACTGGTTCCTTTGATTCTTTTCAGCGCTTATTGATCACTATATACAGTTAATATCACCGCAACAAGAACAATCAAAATTCAGTCATCTTATTCGAGTCGCAGTCAGTCGGTATCCGCTTGCAGCGCTCCCACCATTGATTGTTTTCTTCTTAGATCCATCACTACATCACCATTGGTAGAGCAAGACAGCCGAATGCGTGCTCATGCCGCTCTGCTCTCGCCGCCCCGACTGGTTGTCATGTTACAAACTGAACCTAATTCAAGGTATTATTAGCGAGTCGTCTCATTGGCGCGTTAGATGCAATGTCATCTCCTATCCTTTGACAAGTAGCGGTTTTGAGCTACACTCGCGGCAAGGCCGTAATGTTCCACAAATCCAGAACAGAGCAAATTTTCAGATAGCAGATATTCTGTGCCCTGGTAACGAAACTTGGACTCTCCCTCTATTCACCACACATGCATAAAAAGACTGAAACAGTGGCGAAAAAGTGCCGATGACATACCTAAGCGGCTTTCTAGGCTTCTGCACAAATTCTGGTCTTGACATTCCACAAGATTGCAGTTAGAACACAGCCGCGAAGCACTAAGGAGGAATAGTGAAACCCTCCATCAACAAGTTATCTTCAGTCCTTATCAGACCTTATCTCAGAACATCTACCTTCAGCTGCACACGTGTTTACCAGTGAATGAACGTTAGGCGGCATGGCCTCTTACTTAGGCAGAAACGAACGAGAATTCAGAAAAAAACGAATATACACTGCTCTGCATAATGATAGTTCCACCCATAAATATTACAAAATCCCGTCTTACATGAGGTTTTCAAAAATGTCCTCAAATAGAAAATGAGGTAATAATCAATACCAGTTTGCATGTCAACACCGGAAACTAACTTGAAAGAACAAGTTTTTTTGTTCATTTTTTTGAAAATTGGTACTCTGACAATTCCACAAAATGATAGTTCCACCTCATGTTTTGTCGCTGCGTCTCATTTTTGTTGGGTAAAACTGTCTCATCATTGTGACTCTGCCTTTTTGAGGCTATGGCAAAAGAGCATTCATTATCG